CATAAAATGTAAACATGAATGCAGACATTTCTCCATTGTTTATTCTGTACAACGATAAAACAACCAGCAGTGATATGTCTGTGAAAGGCCAACCAATATATGAGTCGGGCTCAAATAACAATCTTTGTTGGTAATTAATTATTACCGTTGTGTTTCTGACCTGTAATTGTCAGAGGTCGGCTGTCAGTCCAAAGTAGATGAATGCTGGAGTTTCTTTGGTTGATTTTCTGTAGGTGAACAGTGTTGTGCCATTTCAACCTTAAAATGAACTAATTCAGTTCAATTATCTAAGAATTTGAACTAAGTTCACTAGTTAATGTTCATTTGTTCCATTTTTTATTGGGATGATTTAGAAACAAATAATAACAATAAAATAAAGGGTTATTTGCTTTCTTGTCAGGAGTTGGATAAGAATATAGATACTACTCTCAATATGTTTGTTAAGTATTAAGCTAGTGCCAGGTGGATGATTGGTTTAGCTTTAGCATTAATGATGAAACAAATCAAGCGTGTTTAAGGGACTGATATACGACTGCAGCCAAGTGTATGGGATGTCTCTTATTGCCATCTATAGGGAGTTGAATTATGCTATCCATATGCTTTAGCACATTTGTATTGTAAGCCCAACTAAGTTGCTCTTTTAGTTACCCCCATCTTCTGGAGTGTCTTCAGGGCCTTGACATATTTTTTATATATTACATCATATTTTTTATAAGAGTAACTAAGTGTCTTAGTGAGCCTTTCAGAGAAAATCTATTGATATAGGGCAATATCATCCATCTGCTATGGGTAGGTGGCAACACATGTTTCCATTTAAGGAGTACAAGGTGTCTCACAATATGATAGTGATTGATGGTCACAAGTCCAAAACAATCCACAGCAATTCCATATATCACTTGTGCCTGAAAACATCTTTGCTAATATAGCATTTGTGCAATGATTATGCTATAAGAGCTAACACTGTATAAGTCTGTGGCACATAATGAGGAGTTATGAACTAGTCCCTGCGTAGACTCCCACATCCTGGCTGACAGCTCCAACCCCAGATCCTGCTCCCAGGCCACTTCAAGKCTGATAAGAGCTTTGGGCTAAATAGAATATATTCCATTGCTGTAATTGAGATGAGGCTCTTTGAATTGGAATCAAAACTTAACTGCTACTCCTCTGCAACACTAGGCCCAGATGTATCTCGTTCCGGACGAGATTCTGAAAGAAGAGGTTTCTGAGAGTCTCCCAATGGTGCTGACAAGCCTGGAGACCCTGCAGCTCTTCAGGACCACCTACGAGGACCGCAGGGCAAATCTGAGCCAGTACCAGACGCCCGGGAAGTTGATTAAGCCTTGGGACTTTTCCCCGCTTTTGGTCTTCTCGAGACTTGACCACTTTATRGATAGAATCCAGTCCATTAAGGTGAGTATTTAATCAAAGGTCAGCACTGTTGACTGAGGTGCCGAACAGTCACTTCAGRGATACTGTAGTTGAGCTCAAGTYCCCTGAATTTCCTGTCACTTTCTCCCTATAGGACATCCTGTTAACAGCTTTAGACATGTTAAAGCTTGAGAAAGTGGTGATTGGAGGTGTCAGAGGTCAAGCACTCAGCCAGCAGGTCGAGCAGCTTGACCAAGAGTTTGCAGATACTTACAAATTCATCACAGAGAAYCCCTATGACTGCCTGGACCTGAACAATAAGGTATGGAGCGTTAGGATCACTGGGTGCACAGGGGTTTCGCTCACATGCTTGCAGGGYTAAAAAGGCAAACATTTTGAAGAGCAACTTTTAAAGTGGGTTGCAATAGTTTTATGTAATACTAGACACAGGCTACTCACTCAGTGTAATTTTTACCCTTGAACACTTTTCAATTTATGCTTCTTTTTTTCAAGGGCAAACACCTCTACAATCTGGTCCGTCCTGTTTTTTTACCAAAATAGTATTTTTTTTAATACTCTTTAGTTGCTTAACCAAGATGTTTCTGAGTAGTGGCAAGAAAAGCAATTTATTTTTCATGTAAGACCCAGTCAGTCCCCTCTGGATGGCTTTGAGTCAGTGAGATGTGAACAGAAGAAGTGCCGTTCTGGCACAGTCTAAGCTGAATGCTTTTTTAGCTGCCGCTGTAACTGTGCTTTCTTCCCTGCAGGAGTTTGAAGAAGATGTGAGGAAGTTCAAGCTGAGGGTGGATGACATAGAGCGACGACTAGGAACCATCTTCTGTCGGGCTTTTGATGATGCCTCCGYACTGGAGRCCACCTTCAAGGTCTGGAAACTGAATCTGACTCTTTCTRACAAATGCACAAACACTGTCACAAACAAGTATTAAAGCCCGTTTGCTAATCTCTTGTCTGCAGGTTGTGGKTATGTTTGGTAGCTTGCTGGAACGCCCCTTAGTGGCAGCAGATGCTCTGAGTCGATACCCTCTCCTTGTCACTGCGTTTGAGAAGGAGCTGAACTGCTGTAAACMCATCTATGACAAYCASATCCAGCTTACAGAGAAGCTTGGTGAGATTCAGAACAATTCCTGTATTTTTACAATTTTCATTTTAATCACTTTACAGAGAAACGAGTGAGCAAAGCTTTAAAA